CTTTTCCCTGGAGACTTTCACTTTTTCATGAGCACCTTTATTTTTCACTGCTAATTATGCATGAATCCACTGATTTAAAAAATACTACTTAGCTATAAAAATAAATCTTGCCATTTGTGAACAGCATGGATGGAACTGGAGGGGATTGTGCTAAGCGAAATAGTCAGAAGGAAAATTAGACAAATGCTCGATGATTTCATTCATATATGGATTATAGAGAAACAAGAGACAAAACCAAACCAAAACAAATCCTGGAAATCTGACTGTAGAACTGAGACTACTAGGAAGGGAGGGAAAAGGGAGGAGAACAAAGTGGGGAAGAGGCCCCATGGACTGTGGTGCAGGACTACGGGTGTGTGTGGTGTGATAACATATATTAGAAGGTATGTGAACGTGTGCTCCTATGAAAACATGCCAAGTGTTGTAAAGCCAACATCACCCCAATGCAAGCACTTTTTAAAAAAAGATTTATTTACAAAAAAAAAAAGATTTATTTACTTATTCATACAGAACTGGGGTACATGGGGTATAGGCCAGAGATGCGGAGGGTGAGAAGATTTACCAGGGACAGAGTGGGGAGCAGAACAGGCAGATCGACAAAGTACACTGCTGAGGGGAGCAGCAGGTCGGTCAGGAGAGGTCTGCCTCGCCATGTGGATTTCCTCCGGGGCAGGTGGGGATCGTGCGGAACTGGCTTAAGCTTCTTAGTGCTGTGCTTTAACCTGCTGTGCCACCAGGGAGGGCCGCAAGCACTTTTTTTTAAGATTTATTTATTCATGCATACAGAACTGGGGTACAAGCTAGAGGTGCAGGGGCAGTAAGAAGGTTCACTAGAGACACAGCGGGGAGCAGAACAGGCAGATTAACTGAAACACACTGCTAAGGGGAGCAGCAGGCGGTCAGGAGAGGTCTGTCATGATATGTGTGTAACCACTGGGGCCGGGGATCCAACTCATGCTGACTTAGCTTTAGCTTTGTAGTGTTGTGCCCTGCATCACCAGGGAGGGCCCACAAGTACTTTTTTTTAATGCTCGCATTTGTGTTTGTCTGTGTGGATGTGTGTGTGTTTGGTTTTGCATTAGGTTTTCACAATTTTAGTCACTCTACTCTCCCATGTAATAGAAGTAGCAGTGGACTACACATGCAGAAAGTTGGGTTTCTTGCTGGTTCCTTCCAATGGTGTTGGACAAGTAACTTTTGCATTTTGGTCTCAGCTTTCTATTGGTAAAATGAGAAAACTAAATCAATTATCTCTAAAATTCATTTCATTTCTAATGTTTTGTACCTGGTATGAGTACAAATAAGGAAGTGATACTCAGTGCCTTCATCTTATGAACCTAACGCCTTTAGAAACTTTTCCCCATGCGGCCTTTATATCCAGTTATCTATTGCCACTAAAATGCTGCATATCAAACTGCTCAAGATTCAATAGCTTAAAGCAGTAAGTATGCTTTTAGTTGAGTCTGTGAGAGCTGGCAACTTGGGCTGGATACTGTTGAACAGTTCGAGTCTCACAGGGCCTTCTCATTTGTCAGGAAAATTGGTGGTATGATAGTCTGGGATAATTAAGCATGGTTCTTTATGTCCAGCAGGCTAACTCAAGCATGTTCTCACAGAGACGGCAGAGAAACAAGAAACAAATGAAAATACACAGTCGCTAGCTTCAGGGTCAGAAATGGCACACCATTCCTTTTGCCATATTTCATTAGGCAAACCAGGTCTTAAGCCTACCTAGAAACACGGGTTGTGGGAATAGGCTCTGCCTTTAACTGAGAGGAACTCGAGTCACCTGGCAAGGGCATGGATTCAGAAAATGATAAAATACTGGGACAACTATGCAGTCAAATTGGGAGCCTGCTAGTCAAATACATGTTCTCAGTTCTTATTTCTCATCACACCTCACACTCATAACTATTTACTACCCACTTTTCTTTTGACTAATTCAACACATTCAAGCCCTGGAAAGATCCTTTGTGCAAGGTAGCTATCTCTGAGCTTCTAGAGCATGAATCTTTCTGAAAGGATAGCAGGCAGTGCATGAGTCTTGGAGTTAAACCAGAACCATGTTCCCACTGCAGCTCTGCCACTTGCTAGATCCAAACTGCTTCCTCCTCTGTAAAACTCAGGCTTAACTACCTCATAGATTTAGTGTAAGTAGAAGATAACACAGACATCCATGACACATAAATTTTAGCTTCCTTCCTTCTCATCTTTCTGGTTCCTTCTCAAAGTACTGTCCTTTAACAACAGTCTCAAAACTAAGACACTGTTCTCTCAACATGCATCACATCTAGAAGCTCAAATTTGCATTTCTTGCTATAATTTATAGTACTCTCCACTCATATTTTCTATTGTCTGCACGATATAATCACTTTGATAGCCAAAGTCAGCACCTTCAGAACTGTTTCAGAAGCATACCATTCCTCCAGGCCTACAGGTTACCTATAGGCGAGAACTATTCTGGCACTCTTCTTCCCCCTGCCCTCCTTCAAACCTACTACCTCAACATTTCCTCATTTATTCCTTTGAAGTCAGTTTCATCAAGAAATTCCTGTTTCGGAACCCTTCAAGAGAACTTACCTCCCTAACCTTGATTTCTAAGTTTACAATATCTATCCTAATAATTTGGTCTCATCATATACGACTTCATTTTTTCAATTCAGTTGAATTCACTTCAATATTCAAGTTATCATTAGAAAAGGATGGAGAGTAACTTTCCGACTGAGACTGATTTTGCAGCCCAAAGTTGTTAACTGCATGTCTGAGCCTATTTCCTTAGTAAAAAAGTAAGCTCAAAAGTTTTACCTACCTCAGAGTAAAATAAAGTATAAGACATGTTGAAAAGTGCATAAAGCATTGTGATTATGTATAGTATGCATGTGATTATGTGCTACACTCACACATGCACACAGCCAGCCTTAGGCCTGCCTGTTCCTTCTCTCCTTGGCTCATAATTATTCTTTTAGTTTGGCAGGAAACTAATATAGAAAAGAGATTATGGCATCACAAAACCTGAGTGTGCAAAGTATAGAACTCTATGCTGTTGAAAAATTAACAAGGATGTAAGAAAAAGATGCTTCCTTAAAAAGATAATTTGAAAAAACCAATCTTGAGTATGAGCACTGGCTGCACCATAAACTGTGTTAGTTTGGGGAACTTATTTAACCTGAGTTCCTAGGTGACTCATGCTTTGACATAAGCGTGATACCATCTACCTCAAAAGGCTGCTGTGGCTAGAGGAGCTAATGTTTGGAAAGCAGCAAGGATAATGCATGGCAGGTACTACTTGCTCAGTAGTGTGGCTTTCTAATTTGCTGCCCATGTGAGGCTACACAGCAACTCTTTACTGTCTAATGGCAATATATTACAGCCATGTGCCGCATAGAATCAGTTAAGGGTAGACTATGTGTACAACAGGGGTCCCAAAATTCCTATTGCCTAACAACAGCACAGCACACACTGCAGTGTACTCCAGGAGCAATGAAAAGTCACTCTTCAGCCAAGATGCCCTCCTAAATTGCTACGCCAACCAGTGAAATGGAGCACTGTTTGGAGAATAACACACCCTCTGACATTCACACATCACTGTTGCCTAACAACACATTTGTAAGAATGTATCTTTGCTGGTAAGTGACATGTGACATTTATCTAAAAACAGCACACAGCAAGTACCTCTATGCTATTCAGCATAAGAATGGGAACACACAAATTCTACTTTTCCAGTGTTTTTTATTTGTACATTTAACATTCACAAATAATTTTACAGATTTAATTGTTTCCCAGGTGTGTTATCATTTCTAAGAAAGATTGAGATGAAAATGGTATATGGAAGCGGACCAAGAAATTACCAGCAGCGATGGTGCAGAATATAAAAGCTCTGAAGGAGAACAAAATGAACAAGAGCAGCATGTGGCCACTTCCTACCAGGTGAGAACACGGACTTCATTAAGACAACATCTTTAGTCTGTTATTTCTTTCCTTTCCCTAGCTGAATTCAAATAAAAAGGCATTCTAGTCTGGCACTACTGCTCTGAGGTCTTAGGAACACAGCTGGTACTAGAAGCAACCAGATGCACCCTCGACACTAAACACTGGAACAGACGAGCTAAAGTTTGATGGCCTTAACACATTTCTCTGGGAGAACTAAAAGGGGTGGAAGTTGTTTGAGCCTCAGCACTTTGAAGAAAAGGACAGAGGTCTATATATGTGTGTGGTGTTGGTAGGAGAGGGAAGAGAAAACGAGGGTGTAGGCAGCAAACCTAACTCTTTCCCTTTGTACAACTGCTCGTTTTCCTCAGGTGCTACTAATGTAGTACTCTATTATTCAAAAGAGGAACAAGTAATCTACCTCCAGTCAATTGTAGGGTATAGTGGCTTTTAACAGGGAATATTACCCTGGTTACCCTGGGGATAGGTATATTTATGTACAAAACAGTGAAAGCCAATATTACGTCCCACGATATTCTCATGTAATATGTTTTCCCTATTTTAAACGAATTCACGCGTGACCTTAGGAAAGGCCCTCAATTTGCTATTTAAAAAAATGAGAATTATAGCAGTTTATGTTGAGGATTATAAGAGATGTATGAAAAGCACTTAAGAAAAGTGACTGGTTAAGCCAATGGAGACAGAAAAAGCAGATGGGTGGTTGCCAGGGGCTGGGGAACAAAGGGAAAGGGAGTAAATGCTAACGGAAATTGGATTTCTTTATGGAATGATGAACATGTTCAGAGATAATGGTAGTAGCTGCAGAATTATGTGAGTATACTAAAAATCGCTCAACTGTATATCGCTTTAAAAGGGTGAATTTTATGGTAAAGTGTATCTCAATAAAGCTGTTATAAAAAATTCTTAAAAAAATAGAATAGTGCCTGGCACACAGCAAGTGTACAATAAACGTAGCTATTAGTAGTAGGAATATTATTGTCATTGTTATTATTTGGCCATCCTACAGCCTAAATAAACCCCTTGAAATTCTTTAGTTTTAATAAAAGCCCACAGAACCTAAAAAAGTATTTATTTCTAACTTACATACATGGAAGGACACTCACACATTTATTTTTATCCAAGCTATTTCAGAAGTTAAATATAGTTAAGAATCACAATTTCAGTGTTTTACTCTGGAATTAAACAACTGCATGCAATGGACATCTGAGCATGTCATGACAGGATTTAGAGAATTCCCAAAACTTGATGTTTCCCCAAAATGTGAAATGATGAAAGACTTCCATTTTCAATCTCCAGAAATAAAGAGGAAATCCAAAAAAAGAAAACCGTGAGATCATATAAGGTACATAATTAAATGTTCAAACATAGGCTTGTTTGCCTTCTAAATCACATTTGGGAGATACTTTATAAAAAAAAAACATATTAATATATAAATAGCAAACGGCTTACCAGTCCCATGCCCTGTGACCCCAGTTTAGCCAATGACAGAAAACCCCACTATAGCAAAAAGATCCAATTCAACTCATGTAATAAGCCTTGGGCAAAAGACTTGACAATTAATGATTGACTTTTAAAACTACTGTACATTCAAATGTGTTCCCATCAATTGAGTTTTGATAATCTGAAAAGTGATTAAATCCAGTCTTCACTTTTCCTATTGCTAAACAATATGAAATCCGTACCTCAGTCTCAAAAATGGGGGCAGCAAGTGATAAACCTCGAGGGCAGTGATGTACCATATTTGACAATAATGCTCATGACCCTTGGATTTCATCAGAAGCATGAAATTCCCAATTCCTGAAACAGGGCTTCCATTGTTGGACGTCCTTTCCTTTCTAGTTCTCCTTTTTATTATTAGCTATGTGCCTTTGCAGCAAATCAGGGAAAGTTTCGTTCAGGGCTACAACTTCTAGAAACTCAGCTCTTTCATCACTGAAAGCATGCATCTGTATAATTTTTAAGAAAATATTTATTTATACCCTCAAACTTATCACTTATTTTAAAGATAGCGACAATCTCCATATGCCCACCTTCAATTAAATCAAATAAAACCATTCCCGAAGTTACCTAAGAGCAGCAGATAAACAAGACACAGAACAAGCTGCCTTAAAACTCAACACATATAACTCCATCTCATGCACACACACAACCCCCCCCCTGAAAGTCATGGCCTTCGGAATTTCTAACCAAACGTGTAGCCTGAGTAAAATTCAGTAATTCCCTTTTGAGAAGCATGGCTATTTAATTTTAAATTACAATCATTGGGACAGATTATGAAATAACTTTGGAAGAGATGACTTTAGTGTGAAGTTGGAAAGTTTTCAACAATGGACAAGGATGATCATTTGAAATTATTTCAAAGTTAGGACCAGTTTCAAATTATTCTCTTTCTCAATTCATAATTGAAACACTGGCTTTGTCCTCACAGGCTTATTTCACAATTTTAAAGAAATTTAAGTAAATACAAATATATAACCAAAAGCATTGGACAAGGTTAGGATGGAAGAGACTGATTCTGCAATGCTTTTGTAATGAGTGTCATTCTGAGAATTCATTTGTCCTAGTATTGTTCACTTGGTTAGACTGGAGTTGAACAAATACGTTTTTAAAACTATGTATATGTAGGTAGTCTTTCAATACAAAATGAATAAATATTTAAATTCTATAAGAAATTATCATCTTTCTAAGTAACTGTTTATTTACAATGAATATTTCTGCCTGACTCCTAATCTTTGTCTGTTAATAGTTCTTCAATGTGCAATTTATAGAAGGCAGCAGCTCGTATTACCTTAAAGGCATCGTACTTAGAATCAGCCTGAACCAAACATTGCTCCCTGAAGCCTTCACATGCGTGTGCATAAATAGCTGAAAATGCAAGTAGGAGTAAACATGTACAAAACGTTCTTGTCTAAAGGAGAGAAAATTTGCTTTACAAATAATGTGTAAAACCAAGATAATAAATTCCTATTTCCCGACCCCAAAACACATCTAATGAAAAAACTGCTAAGCCCACTATGAAAAGGCGGCAGCTGGAAAGCCAAATCATCTTATGTCAAGCTTTAAGCATCCAGTTGCTCTGTGAATCAACTCTCAGAACACCAAATCCCTCCATGGTTAAATGCGGCTTCTGGTCTAGCTTTACTTTCTAGTAGAGGTGACACTGCGCAGAATGATGAATTCCTTACAGCTATTATGTATCCAAACTGTCGTATTCATTCTGCCTTGAAGGGAAGGTAGTAGGCATGATAGTAGGCATTAGGAACTGACTGATCTAAATTTCTAAGGTCTTCTACATGGTCCACTGAGAGCTCAAAGGAAAACTAGACATTGACCACGAACACTGTAGCTTGCATTTTCCTAGTAAAATTAAAAACTAGAGTGGTGGTGGTAGAAGAACTAAGGTGACAATACCCTAGAGGAGAAATTATATGCTATTCAAAAATCAACATGATGTGAGAAAAAAGTACTTCATTTAAAAAATAATAATAATAAAGCCACTAGAGCAGTTATAGTATGACTGAGTTATAGTTAGCGTGGCAGAAAGGTGACTTTAAATAATGACTAGAAAAGCTGATTCTTCAGACTTTTAAGGTTTTTTTAAGCAAGAAGTCAGAATTTTTTCTGATTGAAATCTGAATATTGGTTAATGCATGTTTCTCTGCCCACATGTATGAAACCACCTGCCAAGTTGTCACTGCCTTTTTTAATCTTTAGTGAGAAAAGAAAATGGATAAAAAGTAGCCATTTTAATTTATGAAAAAACAGGCATATTTTAATAGTCGTAAGGCGATGTGTTTCAGAGCTGCATCTGAACTGGTATTCTCAAAACTGAAAATGCAATCATCAACCCTAGTCAATTTGCAGGATGTATCCATGTGCTTGCCAAGTCATGGGTTGTCACCCAAATGGACCACAGTGACCCCCTTATTCATGAGGAAGGCATTACAGTGTATGCACAAAGCACATCAATTTTAAAGAAACAACATGAAGAGGAAAAGGACAGCCTTGCAAACATCAGTTTCATACGTAAATGGCTCCCTTGTAACTTCCTCATACAGTTAACAACAACCTCCAAAATTAGACAAAAGAGGGTCAGAGGCAAAGCTCCATGATGAATTTCATCTCTCAGATGAGCTTTCAATTCACTGATTATTCATTCCCATTTCCTGATTTACTGAGTAGTGAAGGTAAGAATCATCCAACTGATGACAAAATAGAACAAGAAAACAGGATAAACAGCAAGGGCTTTGCGGTTTGGAGGCTGGCTGTCAGCAAGAAAAGCTGTAGAGGCTAAACAAAACAGAAAGGAGTATTTAATACAATAATACTGCCACAACTACTAACATTTACTGAACTTTTATGTGGATGACAGAGTCCAGGACATAGAATTATACTAAACGTTCAGTTGCATTTGCAACCCTCAGAAGAAAAGGCAGTTTTCCCAACAACCTAGGACTTCATGTTTCAAGGACTAAAACTATACAAATTGTCGACCATTTTATATGGAAACCTTTCTGAAATTCCTTCCCTTTTCTGAGAAGGAACTGTGCTAGATGTGCTTACAATGTGCAAGGTTATTTGTTCCGAAATGGCCTTAGATTGCTGTACTCTTCGAGTAACTGTTCTTATTTTCAGCCCTTTCAGATGCCATCCCTCTGTCTGCCCAGGTCAAACCTAGTCATCTTTGTACTCATTGGTGATCTTTCTTGAACAACCATATGATATCCTCCCACTCCAGGTAGAGTTACTCACGTCCATCTTCTGTGTTCCCCCCTGTGCCCTGAAGACATTCATCTCCTACCTGGAACACTTTAAGCCTCTTCAGTGTTTACATTTCGGTTCTATTAGATCATCCACTCGGAGGATAGAGACCATGCCTAGCACAGTGCCTGACAGTTTACATTAAAGTATTTGCTAAATTAAAGAATGAATGCTTCCAGGAGCCTCTCTTCTTCTAAGATTCTACTTTCTAAGATTCTACTTTCTGAACTGCTATGGACCCAGATGCTGACTAACTATGATATTATAGAAGTTTATGTATGATAAGTGCTTAGACTCTAAGTGAGGGAACTGAGGGGCTCTTCCATTGATAAAGTACCCACGATTAATATACAGTTTTTGGAATAGCAATTCCGGCTCTCTCAGGTCTTTTTTTTTTAAATTATTACTTCTTGGGTTTTAACCATGCTTTAGAGCAATGAGATGCTACTGACTTAAAATTAGGCAATTTGTCTATTTCATTAAATGAGAAACTGGTGAACATTTCTATTTAAGATGGAATTTTAAGAGAATTCTAGTAAAAGCACTGAGCATAAAGCATGTGCTGTCACTGCCATAACCTCTTTCTAATCTTCAGCAGAAAAAATGGTCTTAATGATAATAATCTATACTGAGAGGTAGCATAGCTCTAAACAGGCATGTGAACTGCTTTATGTGAAACGATTCACTACTCACTAGTTACACATCCTACGGCAAGCTGCTTAACCTCTCTGCGTCTGCTTCTCATCTATAAAATAACATTATTTTTAAGGATTATTGTGAGGGTTAAATGAAATAATACACATAAAGCAACTACAATTGTGCTTGACCTATAATAAGCAATATAGAAACACAAGCTACTTTATTGTGATTCATTTATCAGGAAAAAAAATCCAAAGGTATGATGGAAAAAAAAATGTACAAAATGATGTAAAAATAAACTTTTGTAATAAAAAAAAATCCAAAGGTATTTATGCCTCTGATATGCCAAGCCTGAGCTTGGTCTAGTTTGACCTTCTGTCCCAAACTTATCCATTATTTAAAGATGGGAAAAAAAAAAAAGATACGACTAAAAGATTTCTCTAACCTTGGAGTACATGATCCAATAGAATCAGACATGTAGACACTTAAGAGCATTAAAATGTTCCAGGTGGAAGACAAAAGTCCAGATACCTAACTGAAATAAGATGGACATCACTTCTATCATTTCCTACTAAGAGCACAGTAATCTATGGATGACTGGGAGGAATCACATTATACTGCTCTTCTTCAGGTCTTCATCTCTAACTCACGTTTTTGCCTGTTTTGCTACTATAGAGATGAGTACATTCTTACCTACTATAGACCAGGCGAACATCACAATCACCACAAAAAGCCGGACCATGAAGTTTATTGGTCCTGGATCAGCCAAAAGTACCAGCCGGCAAACCAGCATTGCCACTGTCAAGGGAAGTATACAGTAACCCAGCACACAGAGGCTCTGAAAAAAAGATCTAACAAACAACATACATGCATAAAGATCATAAATATAGTTGATCTATACCATAGATGTATATGTAACATGGACTGTTACCTGCTTACAGATACATGAGACCTATTCTTTAACACTGATTTTATGACAATAAAATCTGTATTAAACACAGGCTTTAATTTTTCTCTTCCAATCTGCTTCCACCTCTCTTCTTAAAATCTGTAATGTTCAACCATCTAGGAAACAGATGATCTGCTCTAATTCCTAGAGACCCCTCCCCCCCTTTCCTCCTGAGAAAGCGGTGGTTCTTAATCTTTTCTATTAATTAGACAATTTGTTGAAGCTATGAAGCATCTGTTCCCCATAATGAACATAATCATCTAACAAAAAAATTCTGCCTATGATATCAGATAACATCTGAAGCTTATCAAGGGACCTCAGGTACTATAATTTAGTTACAAATTATAATTTAGTTCAATTCGGTTATCTCTGTTAGGTGGTTTTAAAAGGATGTTCTTTTTAACCCTCATTTATTTTGCTTTTTCTCTTTAAAAATTATCTATCTGGACAGGCATTCTTAAAATCGCTACCCAGCAAGGAGGAAAAGGTACATATTAATAATACTCACATGTTTCCTCCAAGAAGTTTTGAGTTGAGAGTGATGGTAACTGCACCAAACCAGACAATGACAAACACTTCTGCAAACTGAGGTCCTCCATCTTTTTCACTGTCTGCAGAGCCTCTTTGAAGCATTCTGTGACAGGGAATGACATGAAGTTTGCCTGGTCTGCTTTACTTAGAACACCACCACTAAAGGCATGTGTTCCCAAACTTTGCATCAGGGAGCAAAACTTTCCCTGAAGATCTGTGTGAAAGGCAAATTGCCATAAGTATTTGGAAAAGCTTCCTTATTTCAAATTCCAAATGTCTTAGGATTACAAGTGCCCAATTTACCTTCCTAGAATTGTTTAAATGGCTAAAGTAGGATAAGAAACAATTGGTGGGGCCCTCCCTAGTGGCACAGCAGGTTAAAGCACAGCACTAAGAAGTTTCAGCCACTTCCGCATGAGTTCGATCCCCGCCTGCCCCAGAGGTGACCCCACATGGTGAGCCAGACCTCTCCTGACCCAACCACTGCTCCCCTCAGCAGTGTACTTCGTCAGTCTGCCTGTTCTGTTCCCCACTCTATCTCTGGTGAATCCTCTTGCCCTCCGTATCTCTGGCCTATACCCCAGTTCTGTATGAATAAATAGATCTTAAAAAAAAAAAAGAAACAATTGGTGAATGAAAGTGGGCATAATTTTCAGATCTTTAATTTCATCACTCTATGAAGTGATCTGGAAAACAACTTAACTTTTTAGATTTAAACATCGAAGAAGTACAACATATCATAGAAGTCCTAAGTGAAATTTTAGGGACTAATATCCTCAATTTTGAAATACCACAAACAAGTCTAGGTCTATTTCAAATGACAAAGAAAGAAAATAAAAGTACTTACAATGCAAGTGTCACACAAAGGATCAAAGGGCCCCACAAATCCCCTACAAGGCAAGGAAAACTATTAAGACATGTAGTATTTTCTTTATTAATTCCAGTGCCTACCTTTCCCACTCTTGGAATTCAGACATCCAAGCTCTCATGTCTGCCCAAGCCTTCTCATATCTATCCCTCTACTTGCCCTCCCTCCCCAACTCTCATTGCCCTTAAGTTTTATCCACTTCATATCTCACAAATCACCGCTCCTCCCACCTACTAAGTTACATTCCAGCATGCTATAGTTAAAAACCAATGGACAATGAGTCAAAAGACCCAGGTGCCCTAACCTGTAATCTCAAAAAAGATATAACCCAAGTCACCTTGACAATCTGAGACCACATTAGACAACATAAGCATAACCAAGTTCATTTCACAAATATGAAAAATGACGCTGGGAAAGAAGTGAGCTGGGGCTTTCCTGGTGGTGGTGCAAGGGGTTAAAGTGCAGAACTATGAAGAGATCCACAGTTGCCACAGGATGAGTTTGATCCCTGGCTAGGGAGGTGATCCACATGATACAGCAGTGTATTCTGGTCAGTCTGCCTCTTCTGCTCCCCACCCTGTCTCTGGTGAGTTGTCTCACACCCCCACACCTCTGGCCTGTACCCCAGTTCTTATATGCCTAAATAAATAAATCTTTAAAAAGGGGGAGTTGCCTAAGTTTACACAGTAAGTTGTGGAGGTAAAGCCAGAATCTAGAACTTCTGATTCAAAGTTCTTTACATTCTGATGCATGACATTGCTTTTATCATTATTATGCAGAATTGGTATGGAACTGCTGTTCTTAAAGGTGAAAAAAATGTCAAATATCGGTAATTTCATAAGGTTTAATTTTAGCAAGTAACATAAAAGCTTTCTGAAAACTGTAACAGGTCCTGCCCACATCAGGTCTGAGAACAGTGGCCCTCAATCAAAAGTTTGTTGGGTGAATAATATGCAAACAGTTCAGTTATATACAACAACTTGTATATAACTGAATATACGAAAACAATAACTTCCCTCAACTAGTAAGAAAACAGGTGCTTATACTACTACTAATTTTAACTACATATGTATATAACTTTACCTAAGATGAACATGCACATGTACATATTCTGTTTTTACAAATTATATAAGTAAGAATGTTTGCTTCTCCCTCCCCCCACTTCGCATGACCGTCATCACCAAAGTCCCCACATTCCTCCCTCCCTCCTTCAAACAAACAATAATGTAGATAGATATATAAATTAATAAAAAATAAGAAAAAAACACAAGATTCATAGCTACAGTATAAATTTTTTAACTATAAATTTGGTAAAAGTAAATAATTCTTCTACTGCTATGGAGACTGAAAAGCATTTTTAAAGAAAAGGTGGAAGAATTTTCCAGCAGTTACATTTTTAAACTTATACTGTGATCTCTAAATGATGATCAAGACATTGTATAAGAAAGAGAGAGAGTTGGACTTCCGGAAGATGGCGGCAGAGTAAAGACTCCGAGATCACCGCGTCCAAGCCGGCATAGGAATTGAGGACCGAAAACGGACTATAGACTCACTTACTACAAGTTTTAACCCAAACGAAAACACCCTGGACTCACTAGAA